GTGCAGCGTAACACGACGGCGTGCCTAATGGCGAGGACGCTTGACTGGGTGCCTTCAGCTTAGTCCAGCTAAACTATCAAGGTCAGCATGGGTACTGAATCTCGTCAAACCCCAGGCCATTGATGTTAGGGAAGTGTGTGAAGCTACCGATCACTCTCCTCTAGTGGGTTCGTGAGGACCCTAAGATAATACCGGCCGGAAGTAAAAACCCAGAGGTTTCTCCATCGGTAAAACTCTCCTGATGGGCTCACTGGGAGAAGTGGCCCCTGGTTGTCCAAACTAGTTCCAGGGTATCGTGGCAAGTGAAAAATAAAATACAATGAATCGAATTGTACATCGATCATGGTCCTCAGTTCCTTTTGACGTTCCGTTCGGCGCTAGTTGCACCTGGAATATAAACAAAGGTCTTTAATACCACGAAAACGTTTCGTAAAAATGGGACTTATTTACATATAAATACATTGAAAATAAAGTTTACGCTCATTCTCATTTTTTTAAAAGACGTTTCATCACGTAGCAGTAAAAACTGATCTAAAAAAAATATGGGGGGATTTTCGCACTGCCGGTAAACAAGAAAAACGGTGCCCCGAAAAAATTTGAATCAAAAAAAGGGTTGGCACATTTCGTTTCACACTGCTAGGTTGAATATAACTTCAAGTGTTCCGGGGACCTGACGGTTCGACCTGATCGTGTTTTTGTTGCACCGGTGGTTGTTGTATCTGAACATAACCAGGCACATCGTCAACAATTTCGATAATCGGGCTATCTTTCAGTCGACTATAGCGAGCTGAAACGTCTCTTATAATACGGTTGCCTTCGAAATGAGCTGGTTTCAAAAGGTCGGTACTAACGGTATCTTCACGTCCGTTTCGCTCGACTATGTAGAGTTTCTCAAGTCGCTTGATCACTTTGAATGGCCCATCGTAGGGTGATTCAAGTGGTCGACGAACGGCATCGTGGCGAACAAACACGTGTGATGTCTTTTGCAAACTAGGATGAACGAAGAAATCAGTCGTTCGAGGTCTAACCGGAGAAGGCCTAACTGGACGCATTAAGTTTATAAGCCTAGTCACGTAAGATGCCCTGTCGGAAACATGTTTGAAAATTGAAGGGGGAAAAAATTCACCTGGTAGGTGAAGAGTGGTCTCAGAGACGAGTTCTGCAGAGGTGCATCCAGCATCAACTTTCAACGCGTTACGAATACCTAATAGGACTGGAGACAGAGCTTCCGTCCACCGAGGTATGTTTGCAGCTGAAAGGGAAGTTGTCGTTCGGAACCCAGTGTAACCTAAAAGTGCGTTTAAGCGTGAAATAATTCACACTCGAATTGGTGTCCACGGTAGGTTGTTACGTAAGGTGGATATCCAAAGTTCGCCAACCATCTTTCGACGAAAACACGAGCAACTGTTTCGGCAGTAATATCCTTAGCAGGTACTGCTTCCGGCCGTCGTGTAGAACGATCAACACAAGTGAAAAGGTAGGTACATCCACTAGATTCCGGTAGAGGTCCTACAATATCTATATGGACGTGGTCAAAACGCATGTCTGGGGCTAGAAAAGAACCTAAGGAGCTATTCATGTGTTACGTAACTTTGCACATCTGACAAGCTAAGCACGACTGAGCCCATACCTTGACGTCTTTGTTCATTCCAGGCCAGCAGAAACGTTGTGCAATAAGCCTGATAGTGGCTCGTACGCCTGAATGGGACAGTTTGTGCAACGAATTGAAGACACTACGTCTACACCTCTTCTGAACTACTGGGCGTGGTTGACTAGCGGAGATATCTCACGAAATTGTATCCTTGTCTGATCCTACTGGATACAGTTGTAGCTTGAGAGTTGTAGACGACAACTCATGATGCAGCTCAAGGTCTTCTTTTTGACTCTGAACTAGTTCAACAAAATCAACGCCTTCAGTACGGTTTATCGAAGCCCTTCGTGATATTGCATCGGCTACGGAGTTATTTGCCCCAGGAATGTGGCGGATGTCTGATGTGAACTGGGAAATGTAATCCAACTGTCGCCACTCACGGGGGAGTATTTGTCAGGCGCCGAGCTAAGAGAAAAGGTTAATGGTCTGTGGTCTGTGAAATCAATGAAATCAAAACTTTCCACCGAATGTCGAAAATGGTGTGCAGAAAAGTATATGGTTAGGAGTTCCCTACCAGATGTACAGCATCTTGCAGCCGCCTCGAGAAACAGGCTGAAGGTGGCCATCAGTTATCGGTCAACTGTTGCAAAACAGCTCCAATTGCTGAGTCAGATGCATCAACGGCAATACTCAGAGGAGCATTGGGGTCGTGATGCATAAGCATGGTTGCATTCGAAGTGGCTTCCCCGACTGTAGAGAAAGCAATTCACGTTGTCCAGAGTCACGCACTTCGTAGCCGCTCGAAGTAAACCTGTGAGTGGTCTCACGATAGACGCACAGTTGCCAGTAAACCTTCGGTAATAACTTATCAGGCCACTGAAAGTGAGGAGATGTTTCACAGTGGTCGGCTATGGATAATTAGTGATAACGGCCACTTTATCTCTCAGTGGGCGTGTACCTTTCTTGTCAATGATATGCCTAAAGAAGCTGAGTGATTCAACTCCTGTTTCACACTTCTGCAAGTCTACTATGATGCCATGTCTTTTAGTCTTTCGAATACGAGGTTCAAATGTTTAAGGTGAGTTTCCTTATCTAAGCTCGTAATGAGATAGTCATCGATGTACACGTATACAAAATTGGAACCACGGAAGACATCACCCATAAAGCGTTAATTTTGGCGTTAAGCCCTCGGCAATCGCCAGCTGGACACCAGTCGTTGCTACTCTTTTAGGGAACCTTGTGCAATGGTGATCCCTAGGGGCTACCTGGAGGTTTGACAATGCCCAGTTTCGGCGTGTGTTCGAATTCACTCTTCGCCGTTCCGAGCTAATCAGGGGCTAGGTGCCGTGCTTTGGATGCTTTGGATGTGGTTGTGACGTGATGCATAGCACTGCTGGTTACGCACGGAGGAGTGTGCTTCGGTTGTTGCAAATCTGGATGTTTCTCCAGCAACGCCTGGTAGGACGCGTTGCTTGATCATTTGATTCCAAAGAGGGCTAAATTCGGACCTACGTAGGTGGTGCCGCCGATAGATAACCTTGTGTTGTTATTTATCAGTCGTCGACGGCGAGCGTCCACGAGCAACTCGTAATGGTTTAGCAAATCTATACCAATGATGGGCATGGAAACGTCAGCCAGGAGGAAAATTCGGTGAATAGGTTTGCGTAAACCTAAGCTGAGGTAGGCATACCATCTCCCGAATGTCAAGACTGCCTTGTCGTTAGCTGCTTGGAGATTGAAGGATGGGTCATGATGACGCTCCTCTGTCGGTGTGAGAAGAATGCTAACCTCCGGGCCGGTGGTGATGAGATAGCGAACCCTCGGTTTTATATCTGTGACGTAGAGCAAACGGCTGTTTCCGCCGGCTACGGTTGCCGAGGTCACGTACCGGCCTGACAGTTTCCCGAGTTTGTGTCGTTGTCAAAACTGCATGACTTTCGGCATTTTCTTGCTTCACCTCCGTAAGTATTATGAACCTGGCACCACTTAGGGCTTTCCACTCTGTTAGGTTTCGTTTTTGGGCAACCACGCGGGTTGCTGCCATGCGCTAAGATGCGTTTCTGTTAAGTGCTACGTAAACTAGGACTTCGAACTCGCGGCAACTGTTTAACAGAGTTGCACAGTTGGGTCGCCTCTGAATTCCGGCTCTCTGGTTTATCGCAAACAGAATACACATTGGAGATCTCCAGTATTTTATTTGCTGAGGCTGCCAGGTCATCGAGTGGGACTGACTGCAGCGTCACTGACATGATTTGCACCGGTCGCGGTGGTTTCGGGGAGAAAATTTCTCAGAAAAGGCCAATGTCGAATACTCGTGCGCCGATAAATTCTAGCATGCGTGCGAGGACTTCAGTAGCTGGCTTGCTGCCCAGCTCAACGTTACGAAGCAATTCTTCTAGGCGTTGGCGGCCTGTGAGATTACTCTTCTTCGGGAGCGCAGCTTTGAGAGGTGCATAAGGATCACCTACTTCAGGACTAAACGTATGTGCTGAACTATGCCTGTTTAATTCCTATGGTTGTGAACGTATGACGGCAAGAAATCCAGAATGAGGATCCGCGTTCCCCTGTTCTCGAAAATCTGCACCGGCATACAGAAACCTTGTTTCTGCATTGTCTGGCCAATATGGCACGAGTTGAATAGTGTTAGTAGTCAACCTAATACGGACAAGCTTGATAGTATGGTCGGACATGAGAAAGAGATGTATATGGGTGTATAAAGGTTACAAAACTGAAAACAATATACTAGTATAAAACGGGACAGGCTTTATTTATGTTTTAGGAATTGTCCTTGCGCGAACCTGAAAGACACAGAGGACAATGACTAATTATTCGGACTTGTTATACACCCACGAATACGAGACCAAGAAAGAACACAATAGCGTAGTCGGATGGAACAGCATATGTGCGAGGTCGTGCAAAGATACCAATGCGTTCCAACTAACTGGCCAGAGAGTCGATGACGAGAAGTGCAGCGTAACACGACGGCGTGCCTAATGGCGAGGACGCTTGACTGGGTGCCTTCAGCTTAGTCCAGCTAAACTATCAAGGTCAGCATGGGTACTGAATCTCGTCAAACCCCAGGCCATTGATGTTAGGGAAGTGTGTGACGCTACACTATCCTACGTATTCTTCTGTTCTATGAGTGATAACCTGAGAGGATTCTACTAGAATTGCAATAACAATATTCGAATCGTCCATGTCTGGATGTTCTTTTTTTAGCGAAGACTTGAAGCCACTGGGTTGTTTTTTCCTATCACTTTGGTTTTGTACCCTTCGTTGACATAGTATCTTTAGTACACTCAAAATGGTTGTAAATGGTATAGGCAACTTGATTAGCTAACCCTTTTTCTGAAAACCGGAAAGTGTAAGAAGTATTCGTTACTCCTTTCCCCGTTGAATTTTCTGGAGTAGCGCGTTTTACAATCTCTACACTACCAGTTGACCGTAGGCGTGACATCAGTTTTTTCTAATGTGAGTAGTGTTTACACTAGTAGTTTTATTCATTCGCATGCATAAAATTTTAAAAAACTACTGGTAAATATCCAGTTTTTAAGGACTTATATTCAGCAACTAAATGGATAAAATATGTATGGTAATATATATATATATATATATATATATGTATATATATATATATACAATATTAAAGATCTAAATATCAGAACTCTCAAAGCAGAAGTATTTTTCGTTTATTTATATATTTATGGGTGCATTTTCTTACAATCTGAGATAGTCGCATTTGTTTCAGAACATAACATTGAGGTCAAAATACTGTCATTGTCAGTAAATTGTCCACTTTTCTGTGTAAGAACCTGCAGCGTTCACAGAAAATGTTAATTCAAGTTCCTGCTCATTTGGACATTCAGATTTCTGACGTTGGAAAGAAACGTATGTATGTAAATATAAGTGTCGCCACATTCGACTGTTTATAGCTTACTGTACTTTTAGCAAGAGTTTCACCCATTTTTGTTTTATGTGCTCATCTTTCTAGCATATAAGGCAAAGATGACGCCTCTGCTTGACATTCTAAAACATCTTGAATTGCCTTTGCTATATCTATTTTTACCTAGAAGCTTAAGAGTTCCCCTTTCCTAGAATTTTCCAGGAGTTTCTGATATTAATCCACTGCCTTGTTGACTGAGTGCACACACAGACATTATGTAGAAGTGAATGAAGTCTGTCGTTTCTCTCAACAGTCTACATGAATCAAGAGTTTGATTACTTTTACGGGATTTTTATGCCAATAACTACAGCTCGTTGCAAAATTTTTCAAACCTAGCGATGGGGAATTCTACTTTCTTGGCGTTAACTGAATGTCTTCGTATTTCTTCGCGGTTTGATCTACGGTGAATTCCCAGGACATGTAAAACCCTACCAAAAAGCGTAACACCGACCACGCTCCGGTCACCGGATATTTAATGTAAACCTAAGGGGAATTTAGTTGTTGGTTATCTCACCGAAGTTAAGAAAACTTATAAAGGCAAATCGATGAATGTTTGTCGCTAAAAGTTTTTCTATTATGTAGGTGGTAAATGACGGATTAAAACTTGAGATACTGGTTAATGTATGGAGATCACATATACTGCTGTCGAAATGATATGAAGCGTCGACTAATCCAGTTTACAAGGACCAAGTATTTCTATGTCAACTTCAGGAGATTCATTCTCAGGGACACCATGTCAAATTTTTTTGTTGCTCATGGCCATCCGATGCCTAACAAGAGCTGTAAAACAAATTACAGGAAACCAGGCGTTTCAGACCTGTACAAAGGTACATAAGTCATATTTTCACTAATACATATGATGACCCGAAGACATTGTTTGCAGGCCTAATGATTGTATTCGACTCCGTCGATAAGGCCATGTGATAGTGTTTAAAGAAAGGGTTAAGTATCCTGTGATGAAGGATCTACTCAAACTCATACAGCCGTGTAAGGCTTTACAGGGAGTTGTCATCTGAACTAACGACAACCCAGTGATTCTATTTCTATGCGCTTCGTATACTTATGTGAAATGTGGTGACTTAGACTGATAAGTTTCCGTGCCAGATTGTATTCTAGTCAGCTTGTCGATCTATCTGTTGCCGGCAAAGGAAAGCCTTCGGACCATTCATTTTACTTAGTCCAAGAATCATCCTTACCTAGCTTCCTCTGCCGTCTTAAAACAAGAATAATGAGTGGGCTTATTGGCCTCCCAAATGAGGTACTTAGTTGCTGTTGCACTGTTTTTCCCTCAGCAGTAAAACTTCGTCCATAACGTAAATTATACCCTCTATGGTAGTATTTTTCTATTTTAAAACCATCTTTTCGATTTTTCTGCTGTGGCAACATCACAAGGTACAAACTTTCTGATCATTTTCTCTAAATTGGGTCGTTGTGGTACGTTCGCTTGTGTGATAGTCCTTCATTTATGTGCCCACGTTACGAATGCGAAGTGTCTATTTATTTATCCTTGGTAGTGTAGACAGACTGCATTTGAAACTGTTAATATCACCTAATCCATGTTCTGCCGACTATGTTGTTTCCATCTGTGTATTTTACTGATATTGTCGTAAAACTCAGTTCATATCAATCTTTTTAAGAATAATAACAGTTCGTTTGATAGCTGAAACATATGTTTGGTTCTAAACCAACCACAGTGGTGTCTATGCATATTAGCTTCATACCCACCTTAGCCACCTGGTCACATATCGTTGTTTGCCTCTTTTCATCTTGTGGTTTTCTATGCCTTAATTATATTATGTCCATTTCTTTGACTTTTGTGTCGTTACCTTGTATCTTATTGTCCTGCTGAGGTTATGGCAACTTTGACCGAAGTTCCGACCGCTACGTAATTGTCAGATTTCACGGATGCCTAGTGACTGAGAAGTAGATGAACAAGTTAATGAACAAAATGTATGTCGTAGCAAGATGTTACTTGCAGTAACAGCTAAATAAAATGAATGTCGCATAAATAAACTCAAAAGAAAAGTTGGTGACGGGAAACACGGCGCAGGAATTTTATAACTAGTCTTTTGTAACTTCTATCAGTGAAAAGAAAATATCTCTTCGTCTCTGGTCATCCCTCATCGTGGCCTATTATAAAATATAACCTCACTTTTTAGTTATTGTATTTAGTCCTGTGACTTTATGCTTTAACCAGTTTTTCTGCGATGGCGTAACACCAGAGAATAACTTTTCCAGTCCTTGTGTTAATCGCATTATTTTAGTAGAGCAATACTGTCATCACTTTAGAGTTGCAGCTATGGTCAGTTGGTGAACTTGTGGACCTGGTTTACGTTGTTGGGGCTTTTTATCAGTGACTAAATTTACACATGCTGCTTTAAATAAGCGCAAAAGAGAAAGAACTTCAGAGTTGTGCGATCAAATGTTATTTATCCATTTCTAGATGGTTGTTCTGAGTCGTACGAAGAACTATAAAGTTCGTGGTTGGGGTTTCTAAAATAGTTGAATTCAGAGGTGGGAGAGTGTAGAGTACGTAGTCCTCAATTGGTTTAAGTGGAACAGATCTGTTCATTTTCTCACTACCAATAGTAAGAATCTTATCTTCCCAAGCAGTTAGTTCTCCCTATAAATTTTTGGTCTTGTTTTTTATTCCCTGCAATTTGTTTACACGTTTTTTAGTAATACTTTCATTTTTACCACTATTGTTACCTACACTTACATCCTGAGTTTTTCTGCCTATATCACTTGTTGTGTAGTAAAGTAAAGTAGTCAGGGGATTTTTTGTCGTAAGGTTTTGGGTTGTTTCTTGTCTATTTTCATAATGGATTTATTAAGAAGTTCTGATTGCAGATTTCAAATTGCGACAAAGGTAAAGGAAAAAGAAAATTACAGAGAGGTGCACCAAATGAGCAGTTATATGAAAAACTTGTAGTTACAGATGAAGAACTTGTGCATGAATCTGATACTGACCATATTTGGTTACAATACGTACGTCTGGTGGATTTCTAAGGCAAATCTTGAAATCATTTCGAGTGGTAATGTTGAAATATAACATCATCATCATCATCATGTAACCCAGTGATTATGCGCAGTTTATCCCATCAGACAGTGATCTGCACTTATCGTATTAGGACTTATAGTATTAATTGGCTGTTTAGACCTTGTTAGTTGGATCAGTGTTTGAACCCGTGACCCCACCACTTGAAAACTGAGTACCTAAGCCTATGAACCACATCTCCAGAAATGAAGTGAAAGTATACCTTATCAAATAAGTATTAACACACGCTAGAAAATCACTTACAAAACACTATTGAGTCGGAGCTTGTTACTCGTAAATTTGGTTTTCAGAATGGGGGATGACTCATTTTTTTGTTGAAAAGATTTACGTTGTGTACTGTAATTATGTTTCCGAAGAACTTGGAAAGTTAGCCAAATAGATAAATCTAAAAAGGGTATTGTATTTGTTAGTGATTCATCTGTTACATTTACGTTAATAGCACTACCTAAATACTCGAATTGAACAAAGCTCAGACTTATGGATCTAGAAGGTTAAGTAACAGGGCTGAGGGAATGCACTTCACCTGGATGTATACCCATCTTCGTTCATTCTAGGATACTTATACTCTACCCGTTCTAAGAACTGTTTGTATCTAGCAGTCTTTCTGTCCAGTTGTTCAAAAATGATGTGCTGCTTCTTAACAGTTACTGTCAGCTGCAATTCACAGTCAATATTACGATTGTTTCAGATTGTCAATCAAACATTTGTTGGTCGTTTGGTTTCTGTCATAAGACTCAGATGTTACGATTATCTGTTCGCCCTGACTTATTGAAGTGGAATCTCTTACACCGTTTAGTTCATTCTGAAGCTATCACGTATGCTGAGCATGGTGATCCCGAACATGTTCTACGTTTCTCATCCTCCCCACTGCACCCTTTTTCAAACGATGAAATTTTGGTGAAAGTTTGTGCAGCTCCTATTAATCCCTCAGATATCAACACCATACAAGGAACTTATCCAATTAAACCAAAACTACCTGCTGTTGCGGGGAATGAAGGAGTAGGTAAAGTAAGTAGCGGTAGTAGTATTTTTAATATGTGATTTTTGAAACAGTTTGTCACCAAAAGCATTGCCCTAGTGTGTTGTCTTAGTCCTTTTATATGCTTGGTATCTCCTGTTTTTTATACATTTCAGTACACAGGGACAAAGGAAATCTCAACATTTTCAGTGGATTGTTTTGTTGATGATTGTTCTGTAAAAACCTGAAGTGACAGACAAACAAACAAGATCAACATAGGATCTGGCATTACTGCATAACGCTACAAGTTGCTGCACCTCTTGTCAGTACGTCAAACGAAAATGCACTAAGAGGTAAGATCAAGATACAAAGGAAGAAGCAGCCAAAAGTGGTAGGAAGTTATCGAAAGAGGGTAAGGAAAAGTCAGAGAATGCTGACATTCAGTAAGACGATTAAGATTAGAACAATATGTAGATACATGCGTGTCACTGACATCGATTCTGAGCCGTACCACCGAGAGTCCCCAACCATTGATTTCAGTCTTTCTGTGGACCCAAACGGAAAAGTCTACATTTCCTTAGACGATTCACACGAAGAGTCAAACATTTCATGCATTGACGCCATGTTTCCGTCTGGCTACTTCCAACTCTTTTCCAGACTGAACCTTCTTCAGTCAACATTGTGCAACGAGATAGACGGTGACCAGGCATGTGTAACACGTATCTCAACCACCTTAATCAGTGTAGCTTCACAATCTCATCAAATCACTTTCCTCTTTTGTCTAAAACTTTAAAACTGACTTCTACTTTACTGACTTGGTGAAACCACGCAACATCGCATGTGGTACGAAGGTAAAAGTAGTTAAAGATCTGAAGCCTTCTCATATCCTCTACATTTAATGACCGTCTTTCACAGCCATATAGTAGAACAAGGCAAAATGCAGCTCAGTACGCTGAACTCGTAGTTGATGGTTGGATACAATAGCGAAACCAGCTGAGTTTTTTGTATCAGTTTAGGTATTTCATCGAACACTAACCTATTAGGGTTAATCTGACTTTCTAGTTAAGTTAGGTGGTTAACTCAACTATTTTATTTCCTACTGTTAAATACAGCACTAGTAAAAACTAGTCCTGCAGCAACAGTTTACATTTGATTGGTGAGAAATACATCCTAACTATTTTCAAATCACTAGTTAAGGTGCCCAAAAGGCTGCATCTTGTCAGCGTCTTGAACTAACAGGACTGTTATCTTCGTACCCTAGGGTTCTCCTGTGATGAGTCCCTGTGAAGTCAGACGACCAAAGGGAGGCCTCCGTACTCACGTCAAACACCCCCGTGGTTGTTAGAGTACAGCACCAACAGAATGTTGTTCTTATTCTGCACCCCTTTCAGTGAAGGACACTGCCATAAGATCACTCCATCGACGGAGAGAAATACCACCTTCAGATGAAAAACTGCAGCTAGTGTTGTACTCTGATAAGTTTGCCTGTGTACCAGAACCTGTTAGGGAGTGAGTATTTGGGTGATGCACCCACAACCAGATCTGAAACCTGCCTAGTTTTCTCTGGTTTACTTTTCCTGAATTCCACTTAGATGTCTGAATCTAAAATCTATGTTCGGTCGCCTGATTCCTTTGTAGTTATCACAGAAGAACTTGCCTTTCTTGAAGACTGGGATAATCAGTGATTGCGAAAAGTCAAAGGGGAGTATACTCTCGTGTATACTTCCATACACTAGTTAGCACTTCACTTAACCTGACCACTAATTCTCGGTTACCGTCCTGAATTATCTCCAGTCCCAATCTTTTTGGTTCTGCTGCTCTTCTTTACACACCACCTACAGCTTCCTTGACTTTCAGAAGTATCGAAGACCCTACCTCAATGTTTCATTCAAGATCAGACTAGATAAAGGGGAACAGAATAGTATCTGAAAACCAGCTGACCCATTCGTCAGAGTTTTCTACCCATCGTTCTAGTCGTTTCCACTGACGAATTGCAGATCCATCCTTCTCCGCTATTGTCTTACTAACTATTGATCTTTATGCGGCAGTTTCTTTGATAGGTCTAAATAGCTTCCTATTGTTACCTGAACTGAAGGTAGTTTGTACCTTAAAGTGAACCGGATGTCATGTTAAGAACTGAAAGAGAGGGAGAGCATTTCTGTCTTGATGAATAAGGATAGTAGGTTAAACGGCCTGTTGTTCCATACATTAGATGTTTCTACGAAGGTCAGTATGTCCTCTAACTTACCAATCTAAGTAGGTACTACTGCTTGCTTTGATATAGAGCTCTAGTCGTTTACCACTCTGTATGAAGTTCTGAGTTGTGCAAAGGTTGATATTACCAAGGTTTTTGAACCTTATCATGGTGACCCGAAAATACTCAATCCTAGAGTGAGGATGAAGATCAATTATGCTAACTCCAATATCACTATTTAGGAAATGCGATACTAGTATTAGATTGCTGCCTTTCCTAAAAAGCAGAACGAAAGAAACTCATTGTAAAGTGAATCAGTTAGTGTCAACATGGGAAGTAGCAGCGACCCAAATCGCACTACCTCAGATCAGCCCATTGGAGTACAGTGCAACAAAACTCAAGATTAAGGGAATGCGAATGAAATGTTAGAGAAAATCATGAGACTAAATGTACGTGATCAAGGCGAACAGAAATACGATATGATGGTTAAGACGAAATTAAGGTGTGGATGCATCTACATCGTTCCTAAGTCACATCTCGATTCTCCGGTCGTCCGTCTTGGTTGTCACGTGAATTTCACTTGGGAATTCTGTGAGCAATTACCCCTTTCCTTATGACAAATGGAAAGAATCAACTCAAGGGTCTTGTTTCTGAAGTGTCAAGAGACTGATTGGTGAGTGAATATCCTATCTTGAGTGATTTTCTCCTGGGATATAATTATGCTAGCTAGACTAATGGGATAAAAACTAGACACCGATCGTCCTAAGCCCATGGTTAATTATGGGATCTTATTTTCTTTGGTGTTAACTCTAAGACGAATAGGGTAAGCATGTCAGTTAAAGGCTAATCAACAATATCAGTGTGTGAAGATAACAGTCTGAGACACAAACCATCAGGACCTAAGAGGAACGCGGTAAGGTTCCGGGCTTTAAGTTACCGAATAAATGAAAGTATGCTCTTACAATGTTTACTAGTCTCATTGATGAATTTACTTTAAACACAGGTTCGATAAAGTTAGCACCATAAAATGCACCATAATGAAAAGATATCAGTAAAGAAGGAAACAAGTGAAATAACGGTTAGTTCCATACTGTTTATTGAAGGAGTCGTCATCACTCGCGTTAATTTTCAAAAATAGAGCAAACAAGAAAACTACGAAATAGTTACGACAGGTTTCGACTGTAAGGTACATCTGATAGGTTTGTAGGTATCCTGAACAAAAACGCTTTGCATGGTTCGAAAAAACCTGGGAACCTGCGCAGTATATTAAAACAGATAACAAAATAAACAGTCTTGTATTATATATATATATATATATATATATATATATATATATATATATATATATATATATATATATAAGTATTGTATTTTAACAATTTTCCTAATCTTGTTACACAATTATTCATCAGTTTTACGCTCCTTCCTGAGTTATATACATTCTGTGAACCATTCTATATATTACATAATCCATTTCGTTATCATTAAAACTTCAACTGTTATCAAAAGTACCTTTATCTTTATTATTATTATTTATTTATTTATTATATACTGTCTGACGTTCAAATATTCATCCTTCCAAAGTAGTAATCTATTCTTTCTCACCCTTCATAACTCACAACCCCACTGTACTTTACACAGTCGAACTAAAATTTCCCACCCTATTTTTGTTCCACCTTACTTGCACAATCGAAAAAGCCTCTCTTACGGATTTTCGTATTCACTCACCTGTATTACACCGATCTTTGCTCCATAACACGATGTAATTAGATGATCGTAAAGGTCACCTCTTGTACCAAAACTTGAATATTAACCTGAAAACTTAGTGTTAGATTCATACTCTTGAAAAGGATTTTCCGAGCAAGATCGAAACGCTGAGGTATAATACAAGATGATTGTTTATTTTGTTATCTGTTCTAATATGCTGCCACTGGATGTCTTTTGGAAAGCTGTTGTTAATGTGTTGATAGCTGAAGAGACTGGGTTCCATGATGTGTTGAACCTCATGAGTGTGTGAGGTAGCAAGTGATACTAGTGTAATTTACCTATCATGTGTGTGTCGGCACAACCCCATACACCGTCACCTCTGTCATGATTACAGCTGGTTCGTGTTTAGTATATGGTAGCCGCCACGACAACACTCATTGCAAAGTTTCATTCTGCCAAAGCTTAATTTTCACGATGACTTCACCTAATCAATGATGATCTGTATCACTTTTAAACAGTGTACCTCAGAATTACTATTTCCGCAGGATGGTAGAATTCCTTTGTGGGACAATTGAAATTCAATATGACGAGTTGTCGTCATGTTTGGATAGGCCAAGTTTCTTGACAGTAGATTAGAACTGCCTACATTGAAGCGTTATAAACTATAAAATTTACAGACAGGCTGTCATCACGATAATGTCACAGGTGCCAGAGTTCTAGTGGGATATAGAAATCGAAAAACCCTTTTTGATCCCATTGATGGTTTAAAACAATAGAGAAATGGTTATATGCCGTCATTTTGCCTGAATTGTTTTTGTATGAGGTTTGCAAGATGTTTATCAACTTGCCAGTCACACTAGTCTCATACGTTATAAAGCACAGACCTTTGCACTGGATTGAATGTAAACCTAATATCAATGAACAAATCAATCTTTGGTCTGCAATGCATATGGCAGTGTTTGTACATCTGACGAGGAGTAAACACGTGATCAGTTAGCTCATGATATGAATAAAATCTGCCCTCCTTACGAATCGACTCTCAAAGCCTGCATGTTTTGGTGGCGACTGGTACTCAAGACACTATTTCGGTATCAGATTGATATCCTGATGACCATCATTGTCCTGTTTTGTAAAAATGCCGACAAAACGCGGAGATTTGTCAATATCTTGAGCAGAATTCTGACTATTTTTGGCATGCTTTTCGCACTTATCAAACGTAAGATGATGCTTCGGGACTGGTCTGCACCTACTCCTAGTCTCAGGATAGGGAGTGAAGCGGGTGGGTGTGTTGACCACTTCACTTGCGAAGTTGCACCCGGTCGAACGGGCTGGTTGTTGATGAAATCTCAGGCCGGATACAGAAGGTCCATTTGACATTTGCCAATTCGCGTCGTTTGTGGCACCGAATTGCAAGGTATCCGGCTATCCATTAAAGAACGAGTCTACTGCTTTCAGTCTTTTCTGTCCTTTTATACGGCTGTGAGACATGGTCGTTAAAAGTAGAGGATATGATTACATGTTTTTGGCCATTGATATCTTCGTAGCATTGCCGGCGTATGGCGGAATCACTATGTTAGCGATGTTGAGGTTAGACGAAGGGTACTAGGCAATGAGAGCAAGTAGTCGATGAGGTTGTGAACCTTCATCGACTGAGGGCACATTAAGCCAGGTGAATTGTGTTTCTATATATTTCGCTCTGTGTTCCAGGGTTCTAGGGAATTTCATCAGCGTATCATCTATTTTATCAAACCATTCCACTGACACCAGACTTCATCCTGTCTGTGACCTAAATGATTTAGAAGAGCTTTCAAATATTGCCAGATTTCTTTGTTATTTTCATCTCACTCGCGCATCCTGACGACCGGGCCTAGCGATCCTTACGTTAGTGCTGCTTGATTTGTCATGTAAGGTACTTACATATACCATTATACTCCCTGTTTGTCTTAATGGACTGACAGGCGTGGAGAGGTTGTAAGGATCTAGCAGACACCTAGTGTTAATTAGTGGGACATTTTTACAGGCCTGAGGCATCGTTGCTCATAAGAACTTTTAGGTACAAACAACGCTCATCTATGCTTTCTGAAGATTCGGCAGCTGGTCTTGAATTGGCTTTTGGTTGTATTGTGTCCTCTGGGCTGCGTTGTTTAGTCGTGGAGCTTTCATCGCCTTTCTTGACGACACCATCAGCACTAACTTCAATCTGAAGTGAGTAGTCATCTCTTTCATATTCCACGCAATTTAAAGTAATGGGATTCGTGCAAGCGTTTCCAGCATTATAGTAACCAGTGTCAAAGTTCCACAACCTTTTTCTGAGCGGTTTCTTCGCCTCGGAATTCTGTTTTTCTACTTTTCAGACAAAGGCGAATTATGTATAGGCTTAACAACACCGACCATGGAGTGAATGGTGTTGTCGATTCTCTGAGTGTGTAGTCCTAAGATTTTCTCAAATCTTTTCAGTGTTTGTTTCAGTAGTTCAGTCATTTATGACACACTTATGAGACATTGATGTCGTAATCGAATCCGTATGTTCGAAGACTGAAAGTCAGTATTCACTATTGGAGAGACGTATTGCAGATCAGCAAAATCCTTGCATTAATGACTTAAGACCAAATGTAACGATTAGAGCTTATATTTTGAATGTTTCGTGTTACGTTGCTTATACTTCGAACTAAGTCGTATTCAGCAACAGTCAAGAGAACCTACTTGTATATGAAACTATGAAGCCTATCAAGTTTATGTGCTGCACATTCAAGTCTCTTATTATTTGGCATCTACGGCTTCTACCATAGCTGTGTATGTATCTCAGTATGAAGTTATCTGATAGGTGGAATAGACCATAATAGTGCTTTTATTTAGTCCCAAGATGGTATGGCTCAATCTTATTTGTACTGTCGCAAATGGAATCGTATCATACCCACATCTAAATAATTTTGAATTTACATACATAGTTGTTTATTTGGATTTCTTTGTCTTTCGTTTCATCCATCTCCACACCTATTCGCTGATACTAAGTATGATAATGTGGATCGTCACACAATAGTTCTAGATCTTTAGTTGATAGTGTCTAACAAATTAGAAGAGTTACCCAGTCTGACGAGGAATTAAGGCATAGACGCCATCTATCTTTTCTGCTGTAAGTATACCATCTAACTGCTTTTGAGACCGTACTCACTTCAGTTGCTCATCATTAAATCCAGTACAATACGATATTGAGTAACATTTGTGTTCAAGTCAATTGAGCGATAGATTTCAGTCAACGCTGCAAAATGAGACGTGAAACGGGGCGTTGTACAGTGATCGGTTGCCACGAAAATGTTGTAAATTATCATTTACTCATTTTTCCCACCCTAGGATGTTTAATGTATACATATCCAAATGACGGCAGCTTATTTGCCCAGAATGTTACAAATGTCTCATTATACTCCTTATCTTTGATAAACATTCACTTACTAGGATAAAAATCATCTCGATATGTATACAGATAGTCAATCATTTAAACTACCATATTCTAGAAACGAATTATAAAGAGTGTGGTAAGTAAGGCTAATTTTTTCCATACTGTTGATTGAATAAGTCAGATGGTGTTAATTTGAAAAAGTTTGAGTTAAATGTAAACGTAGGATTTGGATAACGCAACATGGAATTCGGATCAAATACTCCACTAGACTACTGTCAAAGTTCTTATCTACATACTGAGAGCAGATATGTAATTGGAATGTTCGCCACAGACTAAATACATTTATACTACTTTAGTTGATGAGATTCTGTCTATTTGAATACTGAGTGGAGTAATGAAACACTGTACTACAATACATTGTGTGTTTGAAGCAATTAGTAGTTTACTATAGATCCAAGCTCTGGAATAAGATGAATATGGGGTGCACAAAATACTCAGCCTTCTAATAAAATCTCAAATTAACATTAAATATCTTCTGTTTCTCAGCGAACGGTCCCTCTTCTACAGAATTTGGTCAACATGACTATGACTTGTTGGTACTCGTTAGATAGACGTATGCTAAACCAAGTGGAAACTGATTCATTTACCACTTAGATAACTGTACTCTCGTCACTCAGTGCAGCGACTAGCGTTGTTACCACTGAAATTTTTAAGTCACAACTGTGAGACTGGATTACATACCTTGATCTTTCACTTGTGAGTAGTCGTTCTCATGGTTTTTATTTTTTAAGCAGTGATTTTTTCATCAGTCGCGTTTCCAGTGTGATTACCAAACTAATAAACTGTTCACTTCAGTCACTTGTGTTGTAAATAGGCTCATGGTAACGTTAGCAGGTTCCTATATCTGAAAGGCGTAAATTTTCGTGCGGATGAAACTCGCCGATAACTTCCAACAGGGACGAAAATTAATGTCTAGTTTATCCTACCGATTACGTTCAATTTTATAACACCATAAAAACTGAATCTCAATGATTACATACTTGTCTGAATGTTCAAAGAGCAATTTTGATTGATACAATTAGATCAGCACTAAAAAAGACAACATTGGAGTAAGTGTAGGATTCGATCACTATTGTAGAGTGTAATTTCATATTAGAATTAGTTTAGTGATATATCACAGTGATATCACTGTTAATATAAAATCAATTTGAAATAAATTGCGAATTGCTTAGTTTATGTTGACATTATTGACAATTTGTAGATCAGCGTGAGTGGTTTCTAACCATTCATACTGTTCACTAGTATATTTAAGAGTGGTATAGTAGTTATAGTTTCTTTAGTTTTGTGGATACACTTTAGAGATGAGTATCAAAAGGCATGGGACGTTTTCTGACATTATTCGACAGTTCATTTCAAAACATCTACTGAGAAATATTTATTCCAGAAGAAGTCATTTATCCTAATGATATGTCAAGTTTTATGTGCACCTCTTTCATTTTTATAATTTATCCTTAATCAACAGTTATTTTCATTAATTCAACTCACTACAGATTATTGCGTGTGGGAAAAATGTTGACAATTTTTCTGTTGGTGATTCAGTTATTCCTTTAGAATTTGCATCAGGCACTTGGCAAACATATTGGTGTGGTAAACCTGATCGATTTTTAAAGATAAAATATCCTATCTTACCATCGTATGCCGCTGTAATAACAGTTAATCCGTGTACTGCACTGCATTTACTTACAAATTTTATGGAGCTTCAAAAAGGGGATACAATAATTCAGAATGGTGCGACTAGCGCAGTTGGAGTATATGTGATTCAAATAGCCAAAATATTGGGATTTCATACAGGTGGGTATTTTTTGAAAAATCAACTTGAGACCGTTTATGTTTTTAAACATTTAGTAAACTTGTTCCGTGAAAGGGAAACAACTGAAGCCACGGAAGAAACACGTAATCTTCTCAAAAGTTACGGAGGTACATTTTGTCTCACAGAACCTGAATACATCGAACAGGCAAAGAAATTAGGTCCTTTTAAACTTGCTCTAAACTGTTTAGGAGGGAAGCCAGCATCGCTTTTGGTGAAAAATCTAGACCATGGTGGTATAATGGTTACATACGGTGGAATGACACGGAATCCAATGACTATACCAGTTGGTCCTTTTATTTTTAAAGATGTTAACCTACGAGGTTTTTGGCTAACACATTTTAATGGACGTCAGTCTATTGCGCAACGACAACTTACCATTGATCAATTATCGAAATGGTTCTCTGAGGAGCGCATCAAACCTTCACCATATCTAGAGATTCCTTTTAAAGATTGGCGTGAAGCATTGTATATGTCACTGTTCAATGACTCAACACCGACAGGTATTCGGAAGAAAGCAATCCTAATTATGGAATAATAATGTTCATCTGCGTATTATTCATTGCTGCGCAAATGAAGATGCTGGCCACCTTTGTAGTTATTGTAGAGCCTAAAGTTACCTATTTAAATTTCTTCGATATGCACATAATTGTAAATTTAATCCTTGGAATCCATAATTTTTTTGTTTAACAAAATCTCAGTGAAGGTTATCTACTTTTGACTTCTTCATTTTGGTCTTTGTACAATTTGCAGTTTATTGAATAAAATATAAGTGATGAGAACATTTTATTTATTTATTTATATGTTGAGAAAGGAAAAACATTGCGGTTGCTTTCTACTATTACTACTACCGCAAATTTTATTCCTAAGTATGACCACAAAAGTTGGCACACTTAAGTAGAACTAGGTGGATACTGGAAGACAGAACTTCTAACTAATTGACTAATTATGTGCTTATGAATATCTTGTATTGAAATGAAGCTAATTATGTGTAAAAATCAACCACACGGAGGTCACTGTGTTGTCACAGTTGGTTTTTGGGTTACACTTTTGTTAACTATCACACCAAGACACATACAGTCGAGATAACGTATTTCCCATCTGTTTTCCATCTTCCATTTCGCTGTCTTGCATCTTAATGCACTAATGTGAGGTGTATGACAACTTCGACTGTCACTCAACTCATTATTACTAGGCTGCGTGTCGGTACTTTCGGATTGATTACATTTAGAAGGGAAATGTTATATATGATTAGAGGTGTATTGTAATTCTGAAATATCCTTTTAGTTTATGTTATCTGTTAAATTTATGTTGGATCATATGTAGTACTAATTGGAATCTCTGCCATTTCTTAAAATTGTGCATTGTAGAATAAGAGTTCTTGCTGGCATAAAACAGCATCGTTTGTCCGTCACCTTCACTCATGAATTTCTACTATAATTCACAAAAAATTTCCAATTTCTCAGATTTGTGTATGCTAAACTCCCTTTTCTCTATAATTTACTTTCGATTGCAGTATGTAATGTAAGCAGAACATCAACACTTAGAAAGTTAGCTTTCTTTCATAAGCTAAGGACTTTGAAAGTTAACAACACTCTGCAGTTAAAAAAATACTTGGCTTTAACAAAGTGCTGTTTAAATTAAATGTTCATGATGAAATTTTGGAGCTGGAAGAATAGCAAGCAATTAGCATTGTTATAGTGTGCTGTAAATCATGTTGGCTATCGCAATAGAATGATGAAATTAAGGCTTGCCATACATTTAGTTCCCTTGACAAATTTGAACAATACAAGAACAAAGACATTTGCAGAATAAAATGAGCTCATTTTATTTCGCTACCTTTCATCAGCTATAAACAGCCTACAACTGAAATGAAGTTTTAGTAGTAATGATGCCATAACATACTTTAAATATGTAGAAATAACTTTTTGGGCATGTGTGTATATAGTCTTCCTATTTTTGCTATTGGATCATCTCTTCACTAATTATTTAGTGACTTTTTGATCACTCAACCTAATGTTTTTCCAGTGTTCTCATGTAATTAAGTAACCTACTAGCTGTTTAACAACCCCATTCCCTTACATCGCTGGCTGTTTGTTGTCCCCCTTTTCCACAGCTGCAGATTTTTCTGCCTCATCAGACATAAATTGCCATTCATTCTGACTAAGGTTTGTGATTTGTGATTATTAATCCTTTGTTTGCTTAACTCACTACCTTATTGTTAATCCTGGATTTCGAATGTTCATTTATTTCTACATATTTAAAGTATTTTATTTCATTATTATTACAGCTACTTCATTTCAGTTGTAAGCTGTGTGCGGCAGATGAAAGGGGATAAAATTTCTTTGTTCTTGCATTGTTGGAAATAGGACAGTTAGGGTAGGAAAGTAACAAGAAAATCTACTTATCACGAAGTTGTTGAGAATACATTAGGAAACTGCTTCTGTACAATTATTTCTACCTCCGAACTAATGTCTCTAAGACTTTCATGGTGAAAAGGTTATACAAGTATAGCGCCTGTACGAGCAAATGTTTCAAATACTAAATGATTTCAATATCGAAAGCCTGTCGTTTCGTGATCAGGGTGAATTATGTGTTGCTAGATCGACAATTTGAAACTGTTGAATCTTTACTGGTAATGTATGTGAGAAGATTCCCACATTACTGATTGGGTCTTCAAACCATGACTATTTTGACTTACCTGATAAACTCAGGACCGTTTGCTGCTTATGCACAGCATTTGTGATTCATAGAAGAGAATGAATCGTGAGTCACTGATATGCCAGGTCCAAGACTGCTGATAATGATGATAATGTTAAACGTGCTTGTTGACTTTGACCACTTTTCGAAAGCTACTCATATTGAACGATGGGTCTCTGCTAATTCTTGCTCGTGTATGGTGAAACAAATCAGTGATATTGGGAATTTGCATCAGCTGAGGTATTTGAGCTAAACGTTATGGTTCTTGAACCACGTCTTAGTCAGATACATGATGTTCGGTGTTTAAGACGTAAGTTAGGAAACTGCTACAGGTGATCAGATCCATCTGTGGAGTCAACGACTGTTGGCGCAAACTGTATGGGAGAGGTGTAGTCACTGTGATTGTTGATTGTAAATTCCGCGTAGCTGGTAAGAACGTGGATTTTAATGTTTCAGATAAAGTAACTTCATGTCTTTCAATTTACGGCGTGGGGGTGTTGATGAATTTCGAAAAGGTTTTCATCATGGATTAAAATCATTCGGAGAAGGAGTGAAAGTCTGGGGACGTTTGACAGCTGTTACTTCCTAGTTTGGGACCGCTTAGGGATGCGCGATTTCATGAGATTTTGGTGTCATTTTGTGCTGAAAACTTCTCGAAATCATTAAAACCCTACAAGCCATCAACTGAATCACTTCCGCTACTCACTATAAACCTGCTTTGAGATGCATTTCCCAAAGTTCTTATAATATATCGTGACCCCTGGGGACATTCAAGTTGAATGTGGGGACATGGCATTGGATGATGATTGTGCTACTCGTGAATTCACGAAAGTAGGTAAGCGTGAACAGTTTAGTTCCAGTCTGGTGGCTGAGAGGCAACGTGCTTGACGGTACTAGACACGGTCCTTCACAGGTTCATGGGTGCGGAGTGCTGAAACGTTTTAATCTGTGAATAAACAGTTATTCAGGTTTTCAGTGGTTCTGCAACTAATGTCTATGTCTGACGAAAAATCCTTAGAAATTTCACTTTTCGCTGAATGATATTCCTTTTCCTTCAGTATACACGCTTTTAGTCCTATGAAATACAATTTTTTCAATAATTTCTTTCAAATCGACAAGAATTAAGTTTGTAAGATGAATTGTATTTTGCCTCTCTCTCTCCAGTAAATAGTCGTACTAAATTTTCATACCACTAACCGAAATGGAGTATCTATCTATCAGTGAATATTGCGGACAAAATTTGGTGGTCCGTTGAACCTCAGGAATTTAAATAATCATATTATAACTTTATAAGAGGTGCCAGAAAAATGCTTATCTATGATTAGTTGGAAGAAAGTTCTATATTTTTAACACGGAATATGAAGTAATATCTGTAGTTCTGACAACAGTAGGAAAATTTATTCCTCATTGATATACAAAATCAAGTTTTCAAAATGATGAGAAACATTTTTAGCTCAGTATGAGAATGAAGGTGGTTTGGCTGATATTGCAGTGAATTTTAGTGTACGTTGAAATAAGAAAAGTCAGATTGAGGTTCAGCCAGTGCTACAACTAAAAACAAAGTGATGATGTAATTTAGTCGAAATTCAGTTATCAGCATAAATTAGAGTTAACCATATTAATGATGGGTAGTGACTAGTAGTGGAATCCAGGACGCCCGTTTCTTCCTATTTGGGGCTCGTCGGCTGGATGCACCTGTCTTCCAGTGAGCGATGCTGTTTCCACTAGGACTCGAACTCGAGACTAATCGCCTCAAATGCCGTGATGATACGTGCAACAACATTAAAACTATACCCGTTGCAAATGAAGTGGCTGTCGTGACTTGGTGGTTTGACAGATAACCGTCTGGCGTTTGAAGCGACCGGTCCCGAGTTCAAGACTGGGAACGATCTTATTCATTGGGAGGCTGGTCATCCAGCTGACGGGTCCCAGACAGAATAAACATGCGTCCTGGATTCCACTGCTAGCCACTATCTATCATTAGTATATAACTCAAATACAAGCAACATCGAGGCATCCGTGCAGGAGCCCATATGGCAATAGAGACCGATCAATTCGGCCCACTCAATTATGGAATAATAGAAGCAACAACATTAGGTTAACCGTAGTTAAATGACTTTTATGTACAATAATGAAACTGACCGGAGTGGGTCGTAGTTGATTTAATAAAGTGATATAAAGTTCTGTTTCTGTGTATGTTGATGACCATCAACTCAGGAAAAATATTTGCAGGGATATACTGTTATTAATGTCCACTTTAAGGTCCTTCGGTATCAGGATTTGTAAAACATGCTTTAAGGAGAATGCAGTATTACTTCGTATACTTTTCCTTTCAATACACGTGTTTTGAAAACTAGGTATGAATTTCTACAGCTGTAGGTGACCCAGAATGGGTACTTATCCATTTTCGAATGCAAGTTAGTATAATATGTATGAAGCCTGGGTTCATTGGTGTGGACTGTCGATTCGCAGCTAGTAGGGCATGAATCCCAACCCTGTTCCATCTACTTAGATCAGTACGCTATATGCAACATATGTGGTTCATTGCCTAGTGCACAAAATCTTATTGCCATCACGTATATTTACAGATTTGTGCCTCACATTGGTCCAGACAGCTGACTTTTAACTAAATGTTGACAGGTTCAAACTCCACTAAACCTACTGAGTTTTAACCGATCAGATAGCGTCACCAGCCCTAATGCAATAGATTTTTTAATATCTTGGCGCACAAACCTACATGTGGTTAGTGGGTTACATTTCGTTTTATTCTGTTACTATCCTGTTATCAATTTGTGTGAATAAAGCATTCGTCTCAGAGTACACAACGTAACAAGACACATTCATTTTGACCGTAAACTGTCGTTTTGAGGACAAATGTACTAGGAGGGGGAAACTAATACTCAGAAACTGATCACATGTTGACATCGATGAAAATAATGGGAAAACGAATTTCTAGGGAATCTTTCTATTAGGAACTGATTGGTAATTAAACTTACATGTCTATTTGATAGAAGATACACGGAACTGTTATATATGAAAATTGATTTTTCAATGGCCAACTATGCAGCTTATCAAAAATATGTACATATAGTTGGCAGTGAAAGTTATGGACACTGG